CTTTCTAAAACCCATCTGTGAATCACTTATTTCTTGTTCTAATTTCATGTGGATTCTGTTATGTATGATTTTAAGAAAGATTTTCAATGTGTGGCTCATTCCTGAAATTGTCCGATAGTCATTGCAATCTTTAGCATTTGTGATTTTTGGAATCGTTACAAAAGTTGAGAGAAGCCATTCTTTGGGTATGTGTCCTGTCTTGTATATGGAGTTAAAAAGGTCTACAAAGACATCAATATTATCTTCATCAGTTCAATTGGTATTTTATCGGGTCCTGGAGTCCTTTTCTACCTTTTGTGTTTTATGGCATAAATAACTCGTAAATATAACCGCCGTATAATATAAATAACCGCCACTCATCCTTAACAGGGTGAATTCGGCTCACTGATTTCCCAATTGTCTATACCTTATTCCATTAAGCGATGCAGGGCATATAAACAACGATAAATTTAACAGATAATTGTTAAAGGTGTTCCAAATGAGTCTACTCGTTCCGATAAGTAACAGTATAATTATGACACTTTATTATTTTTTTTCTTTTCTCAAATATTCGTGTTTATTGCATAGTAAATAAATTAATGTTTTCACTGAATACATAGTAAGTGAAAAAATAATCCGATTTATAAAATTAATGAATATTTTATGCATAAATGCAAGTAACAGTTCTTCAAAAATATTTAAAAACTAACCGAAATGTCCATCTTTATTTCGTCTGGCGACATTATCGGCGGGTCATACCGGTTTGGACACGATTTAATGTTTACATTTTCCTGCATCGCTTATTGAATTTTACTATAGTAAGTTTAGTAATTATTTGTTTGCGAAGTTGGTTACACAGTATATTATATCGATACTTTAACTCGAAGTGGTTGGAAGTTACTATGTAACCAAGCTGACATGCTCATAATTAATATTAATTACACCTTAACCCATTCGCTTCCGTATTCCAAATCTAGAACAATTGTTAGTTTCGCTGCTGGTAACAAGATGTCACTGCCATTTCTGTTCGGTAGTGTCAAAACAACACCTGCATACTGAGTTTACCCACTGGTTTCGTATAAGTGACTTTTGTTGTGTGATAGTGTGTTGTGTCATATCAAAACATCAAAGAAGGTGCAGTTGTATAACTTCTAGCTTGATTATGTTGTTCTAGCTGTTGTGAAATATTGCGATCGAAATAAGTTTAGCCTCTATCCTACCATACTAGTTTTTGTATGTTCCAAAAATGGAACTTGGCTGTATATGTTGCTAATTGAGGTTTTTCTGTTGTTCTTTTTAGTTTGGAATTATGGAAGTTTAAATTGATGTTGATTGTTTATTACATGCCATGTTCCAACATTGGAATAAAAAAATTTTTAGACACAGGGCTATTGTGGAATTTAAGAATACTTTTATATAAGTTCAGAATATAAAATTGGCTTGTAGGCACTATAAAACTTAAAAAATGAAGTTGGGCAGCAAATGGCTACATCTCTAATCTTTCAAAAACTTTATAGGGAGTGCCTAACAAACATATTCCTACCTCTTTGAGATCAACTCTAAAAATCTTTAAAAAGTAAAGTTCTCTCCCGGTAAATAGACGATTACACACTTCTCTAATACACTAAAGAGTAGTTCTAGTTTTGTTGAAAATAAAAAAATAAAATCAAATTACCTTGTTTTAGGTACTTGAAAATCATCATTCTCCAAATTTCGCATACCTGCCGAACCATACGACCGAATTTTACTATCTGGCCTGTATATTTAACGTGTAACTATATAAGTGAATTTGTAATATCAGTTTGTGGTCATTGTTGACAGTGTTTAGTATGAAAAAATAAGATTATGACACCTACAGTGCGTTAAGTTTTGGATTAGGTATACACTCTATAAATGGCATCACTGCGCGTCTTCGACTTGCACTACATATCTGCTTCGTTGACTCATCGTTGCACGTCGCCGGTCGGCAAATTTGTCATATTGTCATTATACCGTGGTTGTTATAAAAGTATAAAGTTGTTATAAAGTTATAAAGGTATAACAGCGTAGAGTTTTAATTTATTTTTGTAAACGTCTGTTTATATGGCCGCGGAAAAAGCTCCAATACTAAAATGGTTTTATAGTGGCAATTCTACGCAACAGTGTGTAGATTTATTTTCTGTGTTTTTGAGGGAAGACCAATTCCTTGTGTACAGTCAATTTATAATATTGTTAAAAATTTTGAGAGTTATTGCCTCAAAAATTGCAGAAAATGTCACGCCCGAGAAGTGTTACCAGAAAAAGTTGAGGAAAGAGAATACCGGGATACACAAATTTGTGCAACAATCGGGGTAGATTCAACACGTTCAAGTAGAAGCGTTGCTAGAGAGTTAGATGTTAGCAATGTTACTGTAACGAAAGTATGGAAAAAGCACAGTTACAAGAATTTTAAATATTCGAAAACGCAGCAGCTTTATCCAGACGATTACTTTCGAAGAATGGAGTTTTGTGAAACTCTAATAACGAAGGCTAATAGTGAACCAAATTTTATTAAAAACATTTTATTCACTGATGAATCTTCTGTTTCGGTAGTAGGGAGACACAATCCTTCCATTACGAGGTATTGGGCGCGGGAAAATCAGCACAGAAGTGTTGTTTACCGAACTCAACGTCCTCAAAAAGTTAACGACTGGACTGGCATTTTAGGAGACCACATAATAGGTCCATTTTTTATTGAGGGCAACTTGAATAGTAGAGTATACCTCGATTTGTTACAGAATCATGTTCTTCCCGCTATTCTCAATCTTCCTGATGTAAATCTGGAGAATGTTTGGTTTCATCAAGACGGCTGTTCAGTTCACAACGCTCGAATTATTAGGGAGTATTTAAACAATACTTTCCCGAATCGAGTTATCAGTGGAACAGGCGATATTAAGTGGCCTGCGCGATCTCCAAATCTTACACCCATGGACTTCTTTTTTTGGGTACATTTAAAAAGCATTATCTACGCTCATCCTGAGGCTAGAGCCCAAAATTTGGATGAATTAAAAAATCGAATAAGAGAAGTCTCCAATTCTGTTACAGCAGAAACTCTTTCATCTGTTCGCAGAAGCTTTTATGACAGATTGGGGTACTGTTCAGCCGTAGAAGGTCAACTATTTGAACCATTTCTGTAGGTCATAAAGAATTATTTTTTATTTTATTAGGAATAATATTTTAATTTTCAATAAGAGTATATTTTTTATTTTATCTTTTTAAAGAAATACGCTTTTATTTTTAATTCAACCACAAAAAAATTTTCACATTAATAAAAATCGATAACAATGCACCTATTAGTTCAGTGCATTTTTATCGAATTTCCTACTATTAAAATCGGCTTTACGTAATGAAACATGAGATCGGACGACAGAGAAGTACATCCCTAACGTTGTTGTGAGTTACTAAACTAAAATAAATGATTTTCTGTCGGTGTAGATTTTCGGGTCGGAGAACGAACATTTGCAACGTTGCCGATTTTAAAGCTCCGTATAGTGTGCAATACCTAATCAAAAACTTAACGCACTGTATAAGCAGATTTGGTGATTTAAACCAACCTGATGGTTTTTGTTCTATCTGACCTATTTTGACATACACTTGAAGGACCAGAATAAATCTTCGGATCTACATTTGGTGTAACTTTTCAAGTAAATATATTTACTTTACTTGTAAAATTTCATATTTCAATTTGTTTAATAATATTGAGATTTTCAAATCTTGTCAATGAGGTACAAACGCTATACACTTCATCTAATTTATATAACGATGCACGTCATAGGCGTCATAGCTTGTGACGTCACATGATACCAACACGAAATATTTATGCGGTAGGTGTGTTGTTTTTTAGAATCACTTTACCGAGTACACTGGCATTACAGCCACTATTTATTATATACGCGTAGAAATAATATTTAAAAATGTCTATTAGTGTTAACTTAAAGAAATACACAATAATATGTTTCATTTAATTTGTATAAATGCATTATAAAGCGTTTTTATCAAGAACATTTGTTCGGAACACACTGTAACTGTAATCGAACGAAGGTAAAATTTTGGCATAAATTGGTAACACTTACTTGACAGTTGCGGTGTTGACACTTTTTGTACTTTTTTTTATAGTTTGGCAACTATGTCAACTTCGATCTCTGACGTAGATCATGACGTAAGTCGTTATCTAAATTAGATGAAGTATAAGTGAGTTTGGCATTTTGTGACCGCCATAGGTCGGGCTATATAAAACTCGCAGTAAATATAGGAAGATCTTCCACGTGTATAGACACCGCCACATAACAAATAAAACCTGTCAAAAAATCTACTTTATTGCTTAAAAATAATAAAAAATAATAACAGCACAGTAACAAATGTTTAACATTTAATACTGATTGACTCAATCAGTTAAATCTTTACAAAATCAACTATTTCCAAGTTCAAGCTGTATATAATTTTATCTACTTTTATTTGTGAACAATTTTGGTATTTGTCGAGTATTGTACGTCTTTATTTTCTATATATAAGCTTAAATGGTATAACAGAATCACAAAATTACAAAACAGCGAAAAATATTTCTTAAGTGTAAGCAGAAGTTTCATTCCTTTATAACTACAAGCTTAAACAAAAGTTAAAAGCGGAAACGATATGAGGAAAACACAGACTGGGAGTATGTTTAATGAAGAGATTCTAGAGATAGAAAAAGACTATTATAGTATAGTAGAATCAATGATATGACCTAACAAAAAGTGATTAAAAACCTTACACTAAAGATATCTGGATATTTGCTGGAATTAAATAAATATTTTTAGGTTTAGGAGATTCTTTTATATAAAATATACTGTATAACATCACATGAGAAATATTTTTCAACTTTTTTTCCAATTATAAATATAAACGTTTTAACAAAAACAGTAATACCGAAGTTTACAATAAAAATAATTGTTTTTAAATAAAATAAATATAATTTGCGTTATTACTTAAAATTGCTTTAAAAATTATTGGTTTCTATTAAAAGTTTAGCCTCGATGGTAGCCCATTAGGTATTCAGCCACGCCAAGGTAGTATACGGTTTGCGCTATGCCGAAGAGGGGTGCGATGACAATCATACGGCAAGCACCACCCTTGAAGAATGCTTTTGGACCTTCGTACTTCAGAATATTCCTGAAAAATAAAATACATTATGTATATTCACCCTGTATAAAGAGGGAAGAGTTAAAATCCCGTGGTTTTTGAAGTAGCTTCTGCAATGTGTTATTCTACTGAAGCCAAAAAGATACTGTATTGCTCTTTTTGGTAATTTAAAAAGTAACATCAGATTGGACAGCTGTACTAGAACACCAAAAAGAATCGCCATATCGAAGATGAGACTCGAACAAAGAAAAATATGCTATTTTGGAAGATGCTAAATTAATTTCCTTCGAAAAAGATCTTTCGATTGCATAGCACGCTCTCCGTGTCGCTCGCGGAGATAAGAATACGGCCGAGGCCATATATCCCTGCCGTCGCTTAAGGTGTAGGGTTTGTAGAAAACGCACTCGAGGCGCTTAGGCGTCACGGTCACCGGTCTACACTCCTAGTATCCGAGATACTCTCATTCCACAAGAGCCAGGTGAGGTTGAACGAGATGAGCCCGTAAGCACCTCTTTCAGCCCGCACCACCATTAGGGGTGTCTCGGCACGTACCCACCTTGGTGATTTTTAAGAGTGGTTGAGGAGAGATCCTCGGCGGCGACCTGTCTACTCTCCTCTGCGTATTTCTCTGCGTGCGTCACTATTCCGCCCCGGGGGGCAAGGTCACGCAAGGTACTACGGGGAGGGTGGAGCCCCACGATACCTCGTGCATCATGCCAAGTCGTGTGCCTTACAGGCCAGGAAGACCAGGGACCAGCCAATTTTATAATTGGAAGGTCGCGAATTTAGCCATGCATTGCAGGCTGAGGCTAGCTTCTTACTTAACAAATCGATATGAAGGGACCATGTAAGGTTGCTGTCTATAAAAATACCAAGAAATCTGACATAATCAACGATACTGATCTGGCTGTTATTAAGAAGCAAGGTAAAAGAGAGTAAATTAGAGTCGGACCAGGTTTTTTATTCCAAGTAGATCAGAAGTTATAGTTGCATGAGGAGTTGAAATATATGAAATTCCTCTAGGTAATACTGGTATCATCAGCAAAAACAAAAAAAAATCATCGATTTTAAGTTAGTGATGTCATTTCTAAAGATAAGAAGAAGTAGAGGACCCAATACCAAACCTTGTGGTACTCCACATAGAATGCTTTTGTGACTAGAGTCAGTATCATTTGCTCTAACTGGTTGTTTCCTATTCCTCAAGTAAGATTGGAAACAATTCAACGAATTACCTCTAATTCCGTAGAAATTTAGTTTTTTTATGAAAATGTCGTGATTTACAGAATCAAAGGCTTTGGCATAGTCACAAAAAACAGTGGCAGTGTAAAGATTATTCTTTAGTGCTTGATAGACCTCATGTAGTCCAGAAAACATAGCATCACTGGTACATTATTAGATACAAAGCCGAACTGAAATGGCTGTCTTTAGGCACTTTAGGAAATATACTTTTTCAAAGGAATCGTTAATTATGAATATAACGATATATAACTATAATAATGATATATAACTTTCTCATTTCCATCTATTCCCATATGTGAGGGAACACAGATACTACTTCTTTTCGAGATTATTGAATTATATTTAACTCATTTGTTATTGCCCGAAATATTGGGTTTGTAGGATATATTTGTTTTACACCTAATAGGGAATTTAATAAGTGTGAGGCACATTTATTCTCACCTGTGTTTTGGAAAAAATTAAGGCTTTCAAAATGGCTATACCTGTGAGTATGCAGCAGCATACCTGTCAAAGGTTTTAGAGGCATCACTGAAGATTTTGAGATAATTAGAATAATGATATATAACTTTGGAGTTAAGTGTTTGATGACGATCGGATTTATAGTTGAATTGGGTTATTTTGTGAGGGTAAGTCATTGGTCAATAAGGTAGCGGGTAGATACACTTTACGATTCCGGTAAAGTTAGGTCTGCTTCAGGGTCGCGAGGGTAACATGTGCCAACCTATCATCCTTTATCATCCTTTGTCCATTAACCCAAATTTCCTAACCCATCCCAGCAATCTTCTACCAACCCGCACAGGCCAGCGTGGAAGAGAAACGGCCAGGTATCCCCGTAAAATGAGAAACGGAAAAATTGCAAGGCTCTCAGTCTCCGGTAGTCCCTTGAATCTTCGGAGGTAAAGGGGCAGAGGGTGCTAAGAATCCCCGGAGTCGACCAGCCTACCTTTACAAAGACAACGGCAAATAATATGGTTTATGGCAACATACATAGCTGGGTGAGTTTGATATTAATTTTTATAATAATATTAATCTTAGGTTTAGGTCTAATTGCATTAACCGCGGAAATCTTTCAGCATCTATAGAAAGCTAAAGAAAGAACACTTAACACCTAAAATTACACAACGAACAAAAGTCGAAGACATATTCCAAAGAGTAAGTTCGTCAAAATGGAAATGGGCCAAACATGTGATTACCAGTCAAAAAAGTTGTAGTGGGAATGTGATTAGATGGCGACCATTGGGAGGAAAACGATCGCAGCAAAGATGGTACGATGACTTAGAAAGAACAGCGAAACAAAATTGGTACCGGCTAGCTCAAAAGAGAGAAAAATGGAAATAAATAAAAGAACTGGCCTATATCGAAAATATAGAGAACGGATAAAGAAGAAGTATTGATATAAAGCAACAGCATTAAGTACTCATATCATACCTCAGACTAGGACACACATCAGTACCCTACGAATCCTTTTAAAAAGAGAAGAGAAAGGAGAAACTAATATGCATTGTTTGTGATACTTAAGTGACAGTATAATGCATTCTAATTGACTGCTTAAGTTATACCGTTAAAAGATAGCATCAACACCTTCCAAAACATTAGAATAAATATAAAAAAGCCTAAGAACAATTTGAAATTGGTACAATTGCAGTCTATTACAATTCAAAAAAAAAAAAAAAAGCACCAATCCTAATCTTATCATACAGCTCTTCAGAGATCTAATTAACTATCATTCCGATTACGCAGTATACTATACAGACGTGTCTAAAACTGAAAATGAAATCGGAGTGGCAATAATTAACAGCACTTCTTCTTCTTCAGATGCAAATACACTAATGGATGTTAGCGATCACATTTTCCATTAATTCTCTATTTCTTGCAATATGTATCAGAGATTGTATGTCGTTAATCCCTGTCCATTGCCTTATGTTTCGGAGCCAGGACATTTTCTTGCGTCCCATTCCTCTCTTGCCTTCAATTTTACGCACGATTATAAGTTGGAGGAACTGGTATTTTTCATTTCGCATGATGTGACCTAGATACGCCGTTTTTCTTTTCTTGATGGTTTCGAAAAGTTGGCGTTCTTGGTTTATTCTTTTAAGGACATCTATATTTGTGATTTTCGCTGTCCATGGTATTTTTAGGGTACGGCGATAGAGCCACATTTCGAAAGCTTCTAATCTGTTTATATCCCTCGTTTTGAGTGTCCAGCCCTCTACGCCATATAGCAGCACTGACCACACGTAGCACTTAGTAAACCTTAGTCTCAGTTGAAGATCGAACTCTGAACAAGTCAGTACCTTCTTGAATTTTACGAAAGCTTGTCGAGCTTGCTCAATGCGACATTTTACTTCCCTGTCCGATGCCCAGTCTTCAAAAAGCCACGATCCCAGGTATTTAAATTTACTCACTCTTTTTAAGTGCATTCAAGTTTCTGGAGATGATCATAAATTTCGTTTTTTTTGGTATTAATCTCTAATCAAATTCTCTTACCGTATTCTCCGATTATAGTGACAAGTTGTTGAAGATCGACTATGTTGTCACAAATTAAGACACCATCATCAGCATATCGTATGTTGTTGATCAATACTCCATTCACTTTGATTCCCATCTTTGCATCCTCCAAAGACTCTTGAAATATGGCTTCCGAATAAATGTTAAATAAAAGAGGGGAAAGCACACATCCCTGTCGAACGCCTCTTCTTATATGTATGGGTTTGGATATAGAATTGTCTATTTAACTGTGCCGTTTGATGCCAGTACAAGTTTTCAATGCATCGTATTTCTTTTTGGTCTATATCAACTTTGACACGATCAAACGCTTTTTGGTAATCCAAAAAGCATAGGAACACATCCTTCTTCTGATCGTAACAATTTTGGACCAGCACCTGTGTTGCTACTATTGCTTCTCGTGTTCCTAAACCTTGCCTAAACCAGAACTGAATTATTTATAAAATTAACAGCACAGAGATTCTCAAATATAGAATTCCAGATATTGCAACTATATTAACAGGAGAACTCTATGCGATTTACCAAGCGATACTATAAGCAAATGCAAATAAGATAAACAAAATATTAATCGTGACAGATTCTATGTCATCACTACAAGTAATCAGGAAAATATACACGCAGGATTTATTTGTTTCACTAATAAAGGAAGAACTAAATAGATTGCTTACTAAAGATATAGGATATAATATTGAAGCAAAATGGATTAAAAAATATAACCATTTTCTATTGATGTATTTATATACTTACACAAATGCATTTCCTATTCCTGTATAGGATCGTTCGCCTTCAGCTTTCGTAAGAGCTTGCAATCTCGTCTTGACAACATCGAATGGATTAACTGCCAAAGCTGCGAAAGAACCGGCCACACAGCCAGACAAGAATGAACACCAGAATACTGCTTCGTCTACAAAAAGAAAAATCACAAAATAAAAGAAATTTGTTATTGCCCAAAAAAAAAAATATTTACAGAAAATCTACTTACTGGAATCTTTACTTCTTCGAGGACCCAAATCATTAAGAGTAGCAAATAAAGGAAAATATATCACAGAAAATGAGACATCTCTTAACATAGTCGCACCAGTACCCTTGTACAATCCAAGAATACCATGTTTTTTGAATAATCCAATGGCCAATTCGGTTGCGGACGTTTTCTGGACAGTCTTACCAACTAGAATAAAATTATACATGTAATAATTAGTACAAATATAGAAAAGTACAAATAAAGAATAAACGCAAAATAAATGCCGATACACGTCATGATTAACTTTGTTGTTGTATTGGGTATCATTACTAATGACACATTATCAGTCTTTCCGTCTACAACTATAATAATCATCTGATGTGCCACACATTCTTTGTGGCACAAGAAATTTGGTGTTCAGTTGAAGGCTATAACAGACGGACGGTCTATAACAGACGCAGTATTTATAATAAAACAAATAAAAGAAAAAGCTATAGAGTTCGGCATGTCAGCGTATATTTGCTTCATTGATTTGACGAAGGCATTTGACAGAGTTCGCCTGGGAGACATTCTAAATATATTAATAGAAAATGAAACACCGACCAGTATAACAAAGATACTCCATAACCTAAATAACAACAACGTAACCAAAGTTAGAGCAGGAGACGAATTCACTGAAAATATTCCAACACCGGGAGGAATTAGACAAGGCGACAGTTTAAGCCCCTTCTTGTTTAATCTTCTCATGGGCAAAATTATCAACAAAGTAACATCTCTTAATCTCGGATATAGAATTGGCAACAAAGGAATTGGTATGGTGTATTACGCAGACGATGCAGCAATTATTGCGGAATCAGAAGATGATCTCCAAAGGCAGCTCTTTCAGTTCTTTCAAACAAGCTGACTACTAAATATGAACATCTCTACCAACAAAACTAAATGTATGACAATAGCAAAAGATCCGCTCAGATGTAAGTTAGTGGTTGAGGACAACCCCATAGAACAGGTGATGCAATTCAGATATCTGGGCATAGATATATCAAGCACCCACGACCCAGTAAAGGACCTGAGGAGTCAGATCAACAAAGCATCTGCACTGTCAGGATGTGTGCGGGAGATAGTCTGGTCAAATCTGTATATGCGCACAGATAGTAAAATTAGAATCTATAAGACTTGCATACGACCGATCATGACATATGGCATAGAAGTGCGCGAAGATACCAACAAAACGAAACAGATGCTGAGGGTTGTCGAAATGAAAACCCTAAGAACAATAATGGGGAAAACAAGAAGAGACAGAGTGAGAAATACAAACATTAGAGAGCAGTGCAAAATTCAAGATATTGTAAGATGGGGAAGGCAGCGCAAGAGGATGTGGTACAACCATGTAAGACGAATGAATGAGAATAGACTCCCAAAAATTGCCCTAGAAAACAATCCGCCCGGTTCAAGACCCCCCGGAAGACCACCTAAAAGATGGAGGGATAGTTGGCAATCTACCTCCCAAGAAATTAACCAGAGGCAGCTTCAGAATTAAACAGATCGAAAGATCTACAAAAAGTAGAAGAAGAAGAAGGTGAAGGCTCTTTGGAATGACATAGCAGTTAAGAGAATTATAGGTATCGTTTGGACATTTTCGATTCTGTGTTGCCTCCTTATTTTCATTTTAAGATCTCTCCACATTTGACGATTGTCTCATTGTATTTAACACGCAGACGATTTTTGTTAGGTACTGCCACTTAGGTAACTGCTGTTTATCTAGATACCTTTGTGGATTATCCCACGGGTAACATTGAGCTGAATCAAGGAATTAAATCTACTGATCCGAATAAAAATAGTAAACAAAAACTGGAAATGGAAACGAAAAAATGGGGTGAAGTATCCATCCACTGGATGCCATTTCAGTAGTTGCTATCTGCTGTATCTATATCGAACTGGTCCGGCAATGAAGGGAGACAATTTAAGTAAAAAATACTTTACCTAAGAGAGCTTGCGCAGCAACCCTTCCAGCGTCTTGCATTTGAATTTTTAATAACTCCATAGGAGTTGTAATTACTATTTGACATAATCCTGCTGAACCACCTGCTAGCATTTGTCTAAACATTGGAAGGGTCCTAAAAAACAACATCAAGTGTATTAAGATTCGTTTTCTACATTTCCTTTCTTTTTATATATACACACGCACATTATATATATATATATATATATATATATATATATATATATATATATATATATATATATTTATATATATTATATATATATATATATATATATATATTGAGATAATATTAAATATAGGAGAAACGAAGGTAATCTAAATTGAACTTAAATGGTGATTAAAGAAATAATTTATAAGTTATATACTAGAGAATATTATCAAAAGTATTTATATGAGGTTATCCTTAAGAATTTAGCATAATAATAAGTTCAAATAGTTTTTATTTTGCAATGTATTTGGTTATTTTAATAATTATGATGTTATGAATATATTTGAGTGCGCCATCTAAATATACAACCAAATGTACTTCAAACATAGTTTTTATTTTGCAATGTATTTGGCTATTTTAATAATTATAATATTATGAATATATTTGAGTGCGCCATCTAAATAGGCAACCAAATATACACTGAAGTAAGTTTGGGTTATTATGATTTTTGGAAATAAGAGTAAATTTGAACAGAAAGTAGACATTTAAAATGATAGTTACGGATTTAAAATAGTGTTATTTATTAATTTAAGTTGTTTAATTTACATTTAAGTTTACATTCTGATCTGAAAAGCCTAAATTTCCATAACATTCTCAATCGAAGGGTAAAGAATTATCTAGACCATTGGAATAAGATGTCAATAGAAGGAAGTTAACCTTATTTGCGTAGTAAAATATTCGCGAACATTCAAATATCTATGAAATAGAACAATTCGAATATATTTTCTTTCAAGATTATTCGAGAACATTGAAATGATATAAATACTCCATGATTTTGAGGAGATTATTATTCATTAGTAAGTAGAGTAATTCAGTTAGTCAGTCAATATTAGAATATTAAGGACAGTTAATTAGTCAGTATGGCCAGTATTAGTGTATTAATATTAAAAACAGTTCATTAGTAGACAGTATTTAACGAGTAGTATTTGTTGGTCAAGTCAGTATACAGAAGACAGTGATTTAGTATGAAAGTTTTATAATATTTTCGAAAGTATATTACATGAAGATTGAAAAAATTGTATTAATAGAGTATTAGTTGGAGATTAAAAATTATATTATGTATATGGAGATTAGAAGAAATTAAAATTATAATATTTATATGGTGATTGGAGATAGGAAGAAGAAAAAATAAGATTATTAGAAAGAAGAATAAACAAGAAAGCAATAAAGAAGAATATTTTGCCGATTTATAAATGCTATTGAGAAGAAAAATATTTTAAATTGGTGGAAGCTGATAACGAAGATATTGAGTGGTGATTAAACCCTTTATTTTGGAAAACAGTTTCATTTAGGCATTCAGTGGCAGAAAGGTACCAAATTTTGTTAATATAATTTAATTATTGTAAGAATTTCAATCTTAAAATTGAAATTCTTACAATAATTGTTCTAAATCTATATTGTCTATATTAGATATATATGTGTGTTTCATAATAATTATAATAAAGATGATTTAAAAAAGTACTTACAAACTAATTCTTTGAGAACCGCGATAAAAACCCCAGACTTATATATGTTTTTAAAGGATATGTTCTTATGGCAGATAAGGACCATAAGAACGAAGAAATTTACAAAGTCAAAACAGGTCTAAGAAAAAAATGGCTTCTCCATGTCTACGATTGAAAAGGCACAGAAATCTCGAAACAAAAGCAAAGATCCAGAAAAAGAAGGAAAACCAGTCGGAAAAACCATCCTACCCTATATAAAGGGCACGACAGACAAAATCGGCAGAGTGCTAAGAAAAAACAAAATAGTAACTATTTTTAACACCGACAGAAAAAAATCGCCACCATATTACCATCGGCAAAAACAAAAGTTGCATTGGAAAATCAAGGTGTATACAGAATCCCGTGTGAGGACTGCGATAATTCATACATCGGACAGACAAATCGAAGGATACAAGTTAGACGCAAAGAACATCGAAATGCCATCGTAAGAAAAGAGAAGACTTCATCCCTCGCACAACTTGCCATAAACACAGGACACAAAATAAACTTAAATGGAACAACAATACTAGCCAACATCGAAAATAAGGCCAAACGTGTAAACAGGGAAGCCATAGAGATCGAAAAACATTCAAAAAATTTAAATACCAGAGATGATGCCCAAAAACTCCCAAATACGTGGAAACAAATTCTGCAGAAAAACGTAGAAATTAACATAGCAAAGAAGACCCCACCCACTCTGCGCACAGGACCAATCACAAGAAGCGCTAAAAGGTATTTAAACTTAGCGTGCAGCGACCGAGAACCTACTGATTTTATAAGCCACTACATCTCATTGCTTTCTTCTTAGCACGTTGTCTAATAAATATTTGCAATATGATGGGAATTTCCATACATTTACTTTCTAAAATTCCTCATACTAGGGAGCAAGAAATATTCCCATAATATATTTTAATACAAAAAAAATCTTGTAATAAATCCAAGTATTTAAAAATACTGAGTGACTAATTTTCAAAAATAACGGCTTAAATGTCAGACCCGGGTCAAACAAGAACCCAAATTCTTAAATGCGATTTTCGCGCTTCTTCGATTTTTTCTTAAATACTGTAATAACAATCTAACGAAATTATCTACTTTACAAAATGCAATCTGACTATATTTACCTATAACTAACCAGTACTTGAAAGAAGTATCTCTAATTGTTCTCCATCTTTAGTTTTCTTAACCATATTTTTAAACCACCCAGGAACATATTGGATTAAATGCATCATAAATACATAGATACAAAATTTTACTCACTTGTCTTTAGTTTGAAGGTTGTATCTGAAAAAATCGTTAGCTGCTAACTTGATGGCTTTTTCCGGAGTAATCAGTAGAATGTTAACGGCGGATCCTCGGTACATTCCCAGGAACCCTTCAGCCCTATACGTCTTTTTGAAGGCGTCAACCCTAAAATATATTATAATCAACTAAATTTTAAACAAAAAATCTTGTCACTTCAACATTGTTTTAATATACTCAATCATTAATAAATACGTCACTACTGCATCATAGACATAAGCACTACGCTCTGCTTTTATAGTGGAATTAAAACTAATTCGAAGGGAATTCATCTTCAGTCCTCTGGTTATAGCTGTATCCATGTGCCAAGGAACTGGATTGCTTCACTATTCATATGGCTAGAATCACTTTACATGCCTTTCTATCAACTTCCTTATGCTTCTAGGCACAATCTACATATCCAGGTTCTTAAGCTGTCACGGTCCCTCACGTATCAAGAAGCATTTAGAATGGTTCTCAGTATTACACTCTAAAATCTCTTCTGAATTATTTCTATATTAAATACTTTGTACACACCTCTATAGTTTGCTACCATAAATCCATAAAGGCCATTCTAACTGGTATAGTTTGTATATTTTTTATTAATGAAATTCTCGTGAACATATCTACTTTCATTCAGTCTCATGGTTAATTTTTTAGTCCAAGAATGTATTCATCTTTGCTAGTCACTGATACTGCTAAAATTGTAACAAAGGTGACAATGGTATCGTGTTCTAATACAGAAATGTCGCTCGTGTATAGCTAATAAATTTTTTTAAGTAAGTAGTAGTAAATTACTTTAAAGATATCTAAACATAAGTTAAACATTGTTGCCAAAAAGTTTCAGATTTTTCTTTATCATTTCTGGCCCAGATGTTCTCATTGCTGATTGGTGGATTAGGCCAGTAAGACCTTTTTAATTTTTTCGTTGCTTTCTACAGCGAATAATCTGTGGCCTCTGTAAGTGTAAGGCTTTCCAGGTAACATTGGATTCCTTGATTTTGTTATGCTATAATTAGCTCTTTCAATTCTTTGGTGGCTTTGTTTAATTTTTTCTTATTTTATGTGGTCTTAGCTTAATGCCATTGCTTCCTCAAGTGTCTTTTTGCGGCAATTTTTTCTCTGACTCAATGTAGCAAGCCTCCTCCACCTCCTGTATAATCTTAGTCAACTTTTCAGATCCGTTTCTCTGTCAAGTTCATTTTTTATTGGCTTTAATATATATTTGTTTATTTTTTTTGGATTTGATGCCTATCACCATTGCCGATGCCAACATCGGCAATGGTGATTTTGTAGTTCGTTGTTGTGAGTTTCTACTTGTTCGAAAAAGGGTTTCTTCTTAGTTTTGTTGGAATTCATTTATTTTTGAGTAGTTTAGATGCATGATTCTTGAGTTAGAGATACGTAATTAAATATTAAACAAGGCTTTAAATCAAAGAGACTAAGAATAAGGCAATGCCTTATTTAATTTTCCATTTTATACTTGTTGATCAAAGAAAACTGTCCTTTGTTACATTTTAAAGCTTACTTAATGATACATAAATATTATTACTTACATACTATTGTACATTTTCTCGCCATTGGGACCGATTTGTTGATTTTGTAGTCTAGTTTTGACAAGATCTAAAGGAAAGACACACGTGACACCGATAATACCAGCAATACCTCCATTGACAATTTTTGGAACTAACCTAGAACAATAAACAATATATTTAAATTAATAATTTAAATTGTGCATTAAAAAAATAAACTTAAAAAGCAATTTATGCTGACTATCTTCTTCATAACTTCAGTCCTAGATAAGACTTGACTTGCCTTAAAAATCATTTTAGTGTCCATTGATGGTACAGTAAAATTCAAATCGAGTAGCAGAGAATTCTTCATGAAAATATCCAGACCATGGTTCAACATCGAAATCTGAGATTTAGTATACGAGAAAAGAAGATCATACCCCCAATACTGTAGCAATAAAACACCTACTAGTAATACAAAGATACAAGGAACTACATAAATTAAAAATATTAATTAACAGAAAAACATTGTCCACATAACGCCACAAAAAAGACATCAGTTGTAGTATCTGTAAAGTAACAAAAGAAGAAAACCGCTAGGGAAAAAACAGTCATTAAACGGTTTCTAGTTTTTCAGAAACTTTTTAACAGCAAGTCCATGCAAGCATGTTGTTCACTTAGGTTAGTATATACAGCGCATTCCGTATGTTTTGTAAACATGATAAGGGGAAATTTTTGCCTGATGGCCATCGAAGAACCTTCTATGACCAACACATATTCTTAATCGAGACCCGAAGTATTACAACTTTTAACATAAATTACTTGTTCGTCGTAGATAAAATATAGTAAGCAACTCGTTACGGTTTCCACACTTGTGACAGTCTCAAATCGTTAAACATCAAATATGTATGTCATGCTTGTGTCATATTCCCAGCGTCGGTGTAGTTTCGTTCTGACATTAGCTACGGTAAAGAAGAAGAATTGACAGTTGACAGACAAAGAAGAATTGACTGTCCGACAGTTAACAAATGGTTCTGGTCCTGGCTAAAGGTCGATTCAGACACATCAGTCACGTCTCGTCACAGTGATTGCGCCGAACCGAACAATCCGTCATACAAAATATTCTTTAATACACATATGTTGCCGGCATTTACACTCATCAGTTGACAAACAGTTTCCCAGCTGTCAGATAGTTGATAGTTCTGTGACCAAACAGGACCGGTTCGGCGCCGAGACTGATGTGTCGATGACGGGACGGATGTGTCTGAATTGACCTTAAGGTTCATACTCGGCCGGTAATGCAGATTCAACGCTTACCGACACTGACGTCACACTGTTTCGCCCAAGTGCCGCATACTCTGCTGAGAGATGAATACCAATACCAATACAAAAAAATGCAATAGTAGTCATTCTTCCAACGTCCGTACAAACACCTTGCTCAACACAACGATTAATCTGCGAAGGAAATTCACCAATAAGATAAATGGGAAATACTTAATTAGTGAAGATCAACAAGTCTTTCGATTATAAGTAATAATTATTAATTAAATAAATAAGTTGAATACAGATACTTACGAGAACGACGCTTGCTTTTCAGCCATAGGAGAACTGAAATACAAAAATAAACAAATTACAAACAAATTGTGGTAAATCGTCAATGTTTAGGCATGTAAACCTTCGTGACCAATTAGAGCTGCAACTCAAAAAAAGAGAATATTTGATTTTTAGGGTAAGTTTTACACAACCACAGAATAATAAACAAACAGAATGACCACTCTCCACGGAAAATTAAGTACGCGCATCTCCTTCGCGCAGACGTTCCGCCATGTTTTACGAGGATTTTAAAGGGAACCAGTGTTGTTTATGTGGTGTGCATGGAAAAAAAACCAGGTTTAATTGACTTACGGCAATCATAGACATACTATACAATTATATTAACAGTTTTAAATATAATAACATAAATATAATATAATTAAACATAAATGTAAACAATTGCATAACCTCACAAATCATATGTTTATGTCCTCCTAAAACATGGCGCGCATGCTGAAAAACTTCAAAGGCGGCATCTGAGAGTGACCCTTCTGATTGTTTATTATTCTGTGACACAACTAAGTACAACATATTTTTTTCTATTTTATAACAAGAAAGTTTTTTATCTTCAAGAAAATATAAATAATTTAATAAAAACATATTAAATAAAATTAAAGAAAAAATAATCATTATAATGTATGTTTCCGTACATAAAGGGTGGTGAATCGTCAAACGGGCCATAGGAAACTATTTGTAGAGGACTCAAATATGTATCGAAAACAACTGTTAAAATTATTCTACGTTTGGAACGTATTCCAAAATTTTGCTAAAATATAATACATTTTTCTGTGAAAAAATGTGTATTATGTGTTGCGTTTTGTCATATTATTGTTTCTGATATTTGACAATATTTAAATCAATTATATTACATTTATCTATGGTTTAAATGGCCAAAATTTTGTGATTTATTGTTAAAAAAAGAATTAAGTTGATTAAAAAATGTACTCAGTTGAGGAGAAAAAAGCAATAATAAAAATGTTTTATTCATGTTTTATTATAAACATTTGTTATATATAGTTTTATGTTTAGAAATTATCATATATTATTATTAGGAATAAAGATCACAGTAACAGTATATTGGAATTCATTGAATAATTGTTGTATAACTTAACTTAACATGGAATTAAATTTTAGTGAATTAGAATATCTTACGTTAAATAAAGATCCGGTAGTGGCAGAAAAAGGTTCGCGCTATTACCTGAATACAACATTATACGATTTTTCGTCAACTGAGTGCATTTCATTATATTGATCGATTTGTAAACAATATAATTTATTGTTCACAAAGTAATAATGTTCATTAGTAGTAGTATTTAGTAAAATTCATTGTTTATAATTTAATCATAAAATAAAAAAATTGACTATTCAAATTGTCAAACATATGACATCAATATGATAAAAGACACACGTCCTAATATATATTCTTGCATTACGTGTGGCCTAACTTTTAGGGGTGGCCTGAAAAATGTATTATATTTTTGCAAAATTTTGAAGTACATTTGATTCGTAGAACGGTTTTAACATTTGTTTTTAATTCAGATTTTAGTCCTCTACAAATAGTTTTTTATGACTTTTGATCTAAAATAATTAGGGAAGCAGCAATTCAACAATTTAAAATTTCTCATTGAGTTTCCTATAGCCCCTTTGACGATTCACCACCCGGTATATTTTTTATAAAACATCTCAAGCCTGTATTAATAGTTATTTTATTATTTTATTCTAATGGGTAGTTTTTAATGATTGCAGGTTTTTAATAATTACGAAGTAATCAACGGACAGACTATTAGTAATCTTCGCTATGCTAATGATACAGTCATAATAGCTGATAGCCATGAAGCGCTATAACGACTAATAGAATAAACACTGAAGGAGAACGACTGGGCTTGAAGATTAATATAGACAAGACGAAGGTAATGGTGGTTAGTAGAACACGAAATATGCAATTAGTTATAAGAGGAAACAATAGGAGCATCCAAAAGGTCCCCAAGTTCAGATATCAAAGCAGCTCCAGACCACACAGCTTTTACTCAAGCTTTATTAAAAAGAAACGCCGATCTGTCACCTACAACTGAAGAACAAAATTTTGAACTTGGTTATTAAAATTAAGACAGTTTTGGATAATTTGGTAGTTGCACCAGGAAACTTCGATCAATGTGTAAGATTAATAATGTTTATATTATTAACATAACCTCAATTTATAAAAAGTTAAGGACTTTTAGATTGTTTGTTTATTGGTGAGCATGTTATTAAAAGGATTCAAAAAATTCCAATTGCTCTCCTCTGGATACTATTATGAAGAGAAGGGTTGAGAACCTAAGATAGTGACATATGTCAACAGTGCGTACCTACTGTCAATCGGCATTAAAACTATTGCGCGAAATAGTTGGTAATTATTATAATCTTTGAAAGAGCATGGAATTTATGTGAGTAGCTTGTTAAATTCAAATAGTAATGTTGGTTGCCTATCTAAGATCACAACCAATGACGTATAATATATAGACTCGGTGAACGCTTTAAAAAGTGTCCAAAACATGAATACCTTTGTTATTGTTTATTGTTTTGATACGAAGATGCACGAAGTTCATGATTTCTTACGAAGCATCACGAAGTGGATCTTGTGTTTGAAAACATCACAGCCGTATGAAAACATTTTCTCCATTTTGTGTGACAAGCAAATTTTATTTTAAATTGTTGAGAGTTATTTACTTACTATTTTAGTACAATGCCATATTATTTTATCAAAATAATTATTTCTCTTATAAACGGGAACAAAAGAAATCATAAATATTTAATTTTAATTAAAAAAATAATTATTGTCATTAACATTTTAATGAGCACGCCGCTGTTCTGATAAACATACCTTCAACCTTGAGCCGAGATCTTTCGGACACTCGATTCTATAGCGAGAATAGGGGACTGCGTAGTCTATATATTATACGTCATTGATCACAACTAAACTCCTTTTCGTATGTTTATCAAAATTCTACGTCTGTCGACACTCCTCTATGCAGAAATTGGGGATTGGGGGTCTTTGAAATGTGGACTACTGGAGAAGTTTCCAGATTTCACAGATATCGCATACCTACCTCAAACGAATAAATGCTGAATATAAAGGGCAAGTCTAACGTCTAAATGTATCTTAAAAAGTCCACCTCAAAGAAAAAAGAACAAAATTGTATACAAGACTCAAAATGATATACGTTTAAGTGTAGTATGAAAGAAGAGTTATCATCATCGATACAAGAATCAAATTTATTTTGTATATTTATCAATTATTTAATATTTACATAAATTTATAGACAGTTACAAATCAAACTGTTTTAAGAAGCATTCATTATTACTTCACTAACTTCGCGCGTTATTCTATGGCAATCCTTTTTTTGTTTATCCACATATACTTTCCAATATTTGCTTTTTAAAGACGCATTATTATCATAAAAAATATATTATCTGCTGTTTATTTTTTCACACGCAGTTGATACAAACTGAGATAAATCTTATAAAAAGAAATCTTTCCGCTCTCGATGTATTATCGTATCGTACGATTTTTTTACAGATAAACAGTGGTATATTTATAGCACATATTATGACAGACAATAAAAAATAAATACGTGATTTTTTTTTATTCTAATCTTAGAACAGATATACTATGGAGACAAAATAATTGAGAAATTTTATCGCGGCCAATTAAAAAATATATTATATATTAATGACTACTATTTTCTGCTCGAGAAATTACTTACTGTACACTTATGATACCCCTAAGATTATGCTACAGATTTAGCAGTGATTTATTGAGTTGAATTAATCCAAATATCTTGTTTATAAGTACGAAATATGTATATGTGATTTAGTACCAACTTAGTGTTCCCTAGATACCCCTAATGTACGCGTATTTACCAAAAAATACCCAGTGTAAACGAATGTCCATTCGGATTTTTTATCCCCACTTTTACCCCACTTTTATTACAATCTATCACCTAAAGGTTTAGGTAGATAATAGACAATAAGTAATAGTACTGACAATTCAAGAACAATTTGTCAAACCTAGGAACGACTTTGAAAATGCTTTAATTGGCACGACCACTTGATGCGCAGTAAAATTACCGAAAATTATCTTAATAAGAGAAGCAAGCTCGAGCTGTAAAGTACGTTTAAAAATCAGGTAGACGAGTCTCGGCGGTTATCCATTTACTTCTCTCTCTGTGTTTTCTAGCAGTCATTCCTAGCCTTGACAAATGATATTATGACATTATAAAATTGTATGAGCAGCTTGTGAAAGGCCGCCTTGAGCGAGAGCTGGCGACCGCCAATATGGTTTTAGGGATAATATGTCCACCATAGATGCGGTCACATTAGTGACCTCTTAGTCACGCAGGAAACAAAAAGATGGTGGCTCTCTAGGTGTCGTCCTGCTTGACGTCAAAAATGCCTTTAACACGACATCCTGAGAAAAAATCATGTCCAAGCTGAGAGAATTGGACGTTAGTAAAAACCTGGTAAACTAGGTTTACAGATACTTGACTGACAGGCCCATAAAGGAAAAAGATACCAGCATCAGGTGGTCGCAGTATGCGGTACGAGGTTCCACCCTTGCGTAATATCCTGTACGACGTGGTGTTGAGGCTACAGATGCCAAGGGGATGCGCTCTTGTAGCTTATGCCGATGATGTCGCACTGGTTGCGAAGGCGAGTCAGAAAACGGACATGGCTAATGCGTCGTATTAGTAGGTGGATCAGAGACAATGATTTACAGCTAGCACCTCAGAAAACTAGGGTGGTAGTTCTCAAAGGGAGCCGAGACAAATCCTCTCTTCGCTTTATAGTGGAAGGGGTGGAGGTTGTACCGGTCAAATCGGTTAAGTTTCTAGGAGTCTGACTGTCTGAGGTTCGGAGTACACATAAAAAAGACAGTAAAAAAGGCGAACCGAAGTCTGGATGTGTTAGTACGGTTGGTGCCGAACATTGGAGATAGGTAGCACCAAAAGAAGGATTTTAAATGAAATTTTCCGATCGG